GCTGTTGGGTTTTCTTTTTAGCTGTGATTAATAGTCGATTAGTCTGTAAAATTGGACCAATACTGCTAAGAGTTGATCCTGAGGAATTCTGTAAAATCTCTCTGTCTACTGACTTTATGTGGAGTGAAGAGGGTTTTCTTATTCTTCATTAATTGAGTATCTATATTGCTTTTGGATTGAGGTTGAAATTTTCATTTGGAAGATGGGGGATATTAGAGCTTGCTTGAGAGTGTTCTTTAAATGCTTTGTATTTTCGTTTTCATAATCGTTTTAAAGAATTATGATTTGGTTGCTTATAAATGTTAGGATTGTTGTTTTCTTGAAATTATGATTCACTAGTTCATGACTTTTTGGGATGCACAACTTTAAACGTTCTGGAAAACAAACTAAAATGGGGACCTTAGAGCTGGTTTGAGAGGGTTTTCAAAATAGTTTTGAGTTTTTGTTTCAAAACAGTTTTACAGAATTTTGATTCGCTCGTTCATGATTTTCATAGGAAGAACAAGATGAAATATCACTTAGTTTTTGTTCTAAAAAACAATTGAAAACGATTCTCCTCTGGCTTGAACATAATTTGTTGTTTAATCAGTTTTCTTTGGCTTATTATTGCAGAACAATTTTCTAGGCATGGAAGTTGTGTCTTATAACTCAGCACTATGCAGGGATCTTGTACTTGTAAGGACTAATTGTGTTAGAAAAAGCTTGAATTCAAGTTGTGTGAACCTCTCTGGCTTGAGGAAGCGCAGAATTGTGTGCGCCAGAATCAAAACCAGAAGCAGATTTTGGGGTTCTTCTATTGTAGAGCAAGTTCTGTTAAAAACTTCCTACCATTGCAAAGGTTTCTTGTCAAAGCATCCCCATGAAAGCTCTCAACCAAAGGTTCTTTGCAGAAGCTACAGTGGCTATGTCATTGATGGAGAAGAAGATTCGATAAGTATATCGGAAAGCAGTGAATCAGCGAGTAAAGTTCAGATTCCCGGTTTGCCCGATGAATCTAATGGTGAATCCAGTGCTCCAATCAGTAGTTGCTTCTGGGAATGGAAACCAAAACTTAGTGTGCACTATGCACAAGCTGGATCTGAAAATGTTAACTCTCCACCAGTACTTTTTCTTCCTGGTTTTGGGGTTGGTTCGTTCCATTATGAGAAGCAACTGAAAGATTTGGGACGTGATTACAGAGTATGGGCCATAGATTTTCTTGGACAGGGCATGTCATTACCAGTTGAAGATCCTACTTCACATTCTAAGCATAGAGATAAATCAGATGGGAAAGATTCTGCTTGGGGTTTTGGAGATGAGACTGAACCATGGGCATCTGAGCTTGTTTACTCCATTGATTTATGGCACGATCAAGTCCGCTATTTCATCGAACAGGTATCCAAAAGAATCATTCATTTTCCTTCATGTTTTTTCCCGTTCCAAGGAATAAAATAGAGAATGATGTACTTGCTTTGAGTAGGAATTTGACGTCTTAAATGGGCCTTGCAGGTCATTGGTGAACCAGTCTACATTGTGGGCAATTCCCTTGGAGGGTTTGTTGCATTGTACTTTGCAGCATTCAATCCTCAATTAGTAAAGGGCGTTACATTGCTAAATGCAACTCCATTCTGGGGATTCCTTCCTAATCCCGTAAGATCTCCAAACTTAGCAAAAATATTTCCTTGGAGTGGAAGGTTTCCGTTGCCAGATAGCGTGAGAAAGCTCACGAAATTCGTGTAAGCTTTTCATTAACCATTCAACGAAGTCTTTATGAATCTTTTCTTTGTTTCCATTCTCTTCTTTACCTTCTGTCCGATTTCAGTTGGCAGAAGATTAGTGACCCCGAAAGTATAGGAGACATACTCAGGCAAGTCTATGCAGATCACACGACAAATGTCGATGACGTATTTTGTCGTATTGTGGAAACAACACAGCATCCAGCTGCAGCTGCATCATTTGCATCAATCATGTTTGCCCCTCAGGGACAACTATCATTCTGGGAAGCTTTATCAAGGTAGGAAATAATTTTGATTCTAAGACTCAATCTCTTGCCCTGTTCTGTTTTTGACTTAAATTTGTTTGTTTCTATTTGTGTAGATGCCATTTGAATTCAGTGCCGGTTTGTCTCATGTATGGGAAAGAAGACCCATGGGTGAGACCAATTTGGGGGCATGAGGTGAAAAAGCGAGTGCCAGAGGCTCCATATTACGAAATCAGCCCTGCAGGCCATTGTCCTCATGATGAAGTTCCTGAGGTATACTTTTGCTGTTCTCTAGATTCATTTCTCAATCAAATACAAAATGGATTCTAAAATCCAAAATCCACATCCTCTGCTGATTTCTTTTACTGATCTACCCTTATCGTTAGTGTCTTTACTTTCCGATATGAAAACCCTAATGAATTAAAATTAGAAACCCTTTGGATATATGAACTCTAATTCACAAAAATAAAACCTTGCCATCCATGTAATTTCAACCCTAAGGATTATGTTAGATTCGAATTGCCTTAGGATTAAATATCTTGAGACGAAAAAAAGTTTATTGGCCTAATAGTCTAACACTTCACAAGATATCATCCTACTCGAATGTTTTTTGGCATGCAATGAAGATTCAATTAGCTCTAGACTAAACTTGAAAGAACAGCTCGACAGCTAAATTAATTCGTTAATAATGATATGATCTAAAACAGCCAAATGGCAAGGCCTTAGAAAGCCTCTCAACTAAACCTTATGCAACATCATAAATCATTATGTGAAAACATTAAGGTACCTCTACTTTTAATCCCGAGTCCTTACGAACATCGAATGTTTGATCTAGAAGCTCATGTGATGAATTTGTGGGTTTGGCTGATTTAAGTTCCATTTTCAGTTTCTGGGTGTAAGAAAACTGAAAACGTAGCATGTTATTTAACAGGTGGTGAACTTTTTAGTACGTGGGTGGATCAGAAACTTAGAGACAGAGGGTTCAGTAGAATTGCCTCTTGTGGGGGAACCAGACAACATGGGAGAGGAACACAACAACATTGTTAAGGATTTGGAATATGTAAGAGAAGGATCAAAGAAGTCTGTTTCTGTGCGATTGTATGGATCCAGATCTTCACTTTTTGATCAGATAAGTTCTTTCTTCAGAACTTTACCAATCAAATCTTGACTGACAACTATCCCCCATTGTCCTATGTAATGTGATTGCTTGCTTAGCCTTACGAATCCTCTCTGGTTTGTTGCTTGTTTTATGCTTGCCTTCCACTGCAAAATATTCTCTTCGAATAGGGTTCTCGTTCTTTTTCTTGTTTGTAAAAATGAAAAATGATTTAATCACTATCTCATTTTTTTTTCTCAAGTACAAGCAGGATCAATCTCAAGTACATGCTGAGCTACTTTTGTTGATTTTCATTTATATTGCATTTAATTCGATTTATGTCAATTTTAAATGAGATTTTACCCCAAAAAACTATTTAAGTTAAAATTTCACAAATTGAAATCATTACAATCACTTTTTTTTTTTTAAAAAAAAAAATATGACAACAAAAACGGACAATTAAAAGTACAGTAGACTAAAATGGAAAAATAAAATAAAATTACAGAGACCTACATGTACCTTTTAATTAAGAAACAAAAATACATTACAGTCAAAAGTTGGCCTAATCAGCGTTAGGTCAATGGTTAATTTAGCAATTTAGCCTAAAATCTTAAACTAAGGTGTAATAAATAATATAAATACAACATATTTGTTGCATTTGGAGGTGGAACTGTTTTAGATTTCTTCAGTTTCAATTTTCATCTTCCCCTGAAATTATTTGTGGATCTATTCTATTTGTGTTGGTTGGATTCCAATGGCGGGTTATGGCGGCCGGTCGGAAGCCTGATCTTGCCGGAGGAACCCACCGGAACCACCTTCAGATTCTCGCAATTGCAGATCTCGATCATGAATCCGTCGGGATCGTTGAAGAACAGCTGCTCGATCGATTCTCCCTTCTCCTCTTCCAATGTCCTCCTCATGTATTTCACTCCCAATTCCTTCAATTTCTCCTCCATCGCCTCCATGTCTTCGCACTGCCGCAGTTCAATTTCAGAACCAGTAAAAAGAAAACCCTAGCTAAATCGAGAGTACCGAAAATTTCCCGACGATTTTGAAAAATTAACCTGAAACGAGATGTGATTGTCCAAGGGATCGAGATCCTGATCCTGATCGTTCCGAAGTCCATCGTCTTGTTCCTCATTGGATTGCATCAGGTGAATCCCGACGCCGTAGTTGAACAACCAAGCCCCCTCGAAATCGAAGCTCTGCGGCCTCTCGATTAGGACGAACCCTAGGGCCTTGGTGTAGAAATCGACGGAGTCCTTGACGCTTCTGCAGACTCTGGAGACGTGATTGAGCGCCATTAATGGAAGTGGATGCTCCTCCCTCTCTTGCTCCTTTCTTGCGTCTCTCTCGCTTTGGTTGTCTGTTTCCGCTTCCTTGTGATCTGTGACGGTTTCTTCTTCCATTATCTGTCGTCTTGGCTCTTAATCGAGGCAGAGCAGTAGAGGAAGGTGTCGGTTGTGTATCTCAGTGTTAATGGTGGTTGGGTTAAAAGGACAACAATGGCGGCGGATGGAGCACACGTGTGGACGGAGGAGACTGCCATGGAAGACGATTGAGGTGGACGTGGAAGTGTACGAAGAACACAGTACGGCTGCTTGGCGGTGCCCACTTTATAATTCTTCTGAATTTTTTATACAGCATTTGTGGTCGAAGATAGATAGCTTGGAGTTATGTTTTCCTCGTATCTTTGAAAATTACTAACTTCGCCCTTATCTCATCCGTTATTTATTTGAAAAAAGAAATATTAAAGTAGGAAATTTTTTGAAAGTGTGCCATCAATTCTTTTAAGACTGTGAATTCCTTTTTCTCTCTCTTGAGATGTTAATTATCGTCAAGCTCATGTTGGCTTCTTGAACATAATGTTAAATTACCAACTTTAATTGCTTGCTACTAATAAATCGCTACACTTACTACGTGAGAGTCGTTTGAACTTTTAATTTTATGTCTAAATTTTGTCCAATCAACATGATCAGTATAACTTAACGATATAAATATATAATTTATTCCTTTGAGGTGTTCAAATCTTTCATACCCCTTTTGTTGTATTAGAAAAAAGGTTAACATCGTCTCACTAAATATTATACTGAGATAACTTTTGAAAAAAAAAACTTTTTAAATAAAAATATTTTTTCTATAATCAATTTTGGAAGAATTACTAATTTTGCATGGGCTTTTTAAAAAAAACTACAATGATCGTAATAAATAAAAAAATATTCAAAAAAAATATTGCTTAACTCCCTCCGAATAAGCATTGAGAGGCTATATCTAAAAAGTGACTTTAGTTTAAGCGTGCAAGAGATTTGAGAGATTATTGTTAAAGCAAACTGCTTAACTAAAAGATATGTCAAACTCATCCTTAAACCGATATTTGAGTTGATTTAATGACCTAAGAATTTGAAGTTTTGAAATTTTTTTATAAGTATATAGATATACTAGATTGATACAATATTAAAAGTTAATGAACCTACTATAAACTTTTTCAAATACAAACTCTCATTAGATATAACACTAGAAGTTTAAAGACGAAACTCGTGATTTAACTAAAATATTAATATTTTACAACTATTAAGCTGGAGTTTTTTTTTAGTACACATGTGGGGATGGGGGATCGAACTCACAACCTTTTGATTTGATATATATGTTAATTATCGTTGAACTATGCTCGCTTTGACTTTAAGCTCGAGTTGACTCTTGGTTTATTACTCATCAATATAGATAATTACAAATTTAGTTGATGAATTTTGAGCATCACATGCATCTTGGTTTATATAAAGTTTAAAAAGTTTCAATTTTACGATGTCAAAAAAAAAAAAAAGAATTTCAATTTTATTCTTGAAATTGTAACCTATATGTTAGATAGGTTATGAGATTTTAATGTTAATATTCCATCGTAGTGTTAATGATATGTAATAATTAAATAGAGGTATGATTCAAAATACAAAGACATGAACAATTTTTTTAAAACTTAAAAGACTAAAAATAGATAAGATGTTCAAAAGTTGGAATAAATTGATAATTTAGGCTTATAAAACGCATCTTATAATTTGTATATAATTAAAATTATACCTCTGTTTCAAAAATAGTTTTAATATATTTATATAATCCATAGATTTGCATACCCCTTTTCTTTTAAAAGTGCTTAAATATCTTTCTTTTTCTAAAATATATCGAAATTTAGTTCTCTCTGTTCATTGGTCACTTGAGGTTGGAAGTAGATTTCCAATTTCCACACCCAATGAGAGAATTGAAAAAGAAAAAAAAATGTATAAATTTCATTTTCTGTAGGTTAACTTTATTTATTTTGGTTCAACCAACTATTTTTTCTTAAAAGAAAAAAAAACAACCAACCAACCAATTAGTTACTGAACAAAAAAAACCGTCCCTTACGCAACCCCATTGATTACTTACCAAAATTTAACCACCAAAATTATTTTCATTCTTTTTTCGTTTGACAAAATAATCCTCATTCCTCAATTATTAGATTAACTTTTATATTTTGACTAAAAACAGTATAAAAAAAAAGGAGGAAAATCAAACTTTTACAATTCAACTTGAATTTTTTCCTAAACTTTTAATCAAATCATATACTTTTGGATCAATTTTTAATAATTCACTAATTTCAATAAAAATAAAGCTTTGTACAAAATTAAATAGAATAAATAGCCATTTTAAACGTATTTAAGATATATATTCCGACCAAAAGATTATAGGGTCAAATCATCATTAATTCACATTATTGTACTAAAGAAATGCACGACATAGATCCTTTAACAAATTCTATAAAAATTCATGAATTTCAAAGAAGAAAAAACGGTTCTAGTGTCGTCTTTCTCTTATATATTATCAATTTTGTACCAAACATGTTTCATAATTCCATAAATACGCGTGTAATTTTTTAAATAAAAAGGTTTATGAGAAGGTAAACTTGCAATAACTATTCAAGTGTAAAATATAGAATGTAATACTGGTCCAAATTCATGGTGGTAAAGTCAGAAGTTAAAAGGGTAAAAATTGATAAATTCCGGTAAATTAATAGATAAAAATTAAAATTTTTCAAAAAAAGAAAATAAAAATATTTCGTCGTCGAATATTTCGATAATATTAATCTCTATATTTAAATAAACAATGAACTCTCTGGAATATTCATTTTGAAAATTACTTCTGGACCTCTCTTTCGTCTCACGCGCCAATCCCCACGCGCTCCCATTCCCATCCAGACCAGCCTTCAACCGATTTCCCTGTTCCTCTCTCTCTTTCTAACACAACGAAATCCTTTTACCAGTTCGCCGGAACCCCACCTCCCAACCGCCGCCTCAACCAACGCCGGCGTACCTGAGCTCACATCGTCTTCGCGGCGCTGCGAAATTTTCCGGCGGAGGCGGCCGTAGGAGTAGACATGTACCGGGACGTGTCGAGCTGCAACACCTACAACTATGGCGATGCTGTCTACTGGGACGCTCGTTACCTGCAGGAGGCCGGTTCCTTTGACTGGTACCAGCGTTATACTGCTCTACGTCCCTTTGTTCGTAAGTTCATCAGCACTTCCGCCTCCGTCCTTATGGTTGGCTGTGGTAATGCTGGTAATTTCCCTCTATTTCACCTTCTCTGTACCTTCTTCAGTTTTGTTTTGTTTTGGAATTGGAATAGTTCTCGATGAGGCGTTGGAAGTTGGAATGAATTTTCGATGCGTTCTGTTTTTATTCGTCGTCATAAATGGATATTTGATGTATTTTTTAGTTTATTGGATTGAGAGACTCGATTTCGGCTGTTTAGCCGACGAGAAGATTGAATCGAGGAAGAATTTTAGAATTTTTCACTGAGAAACTCCTGAAGAGAAAGAGAGAAAGCAAGAATATTCATAGTCAACTATTTGGACTCACTTGGGTGAGAATTACGTGTTTGAGGAAATGAACATCAATACTGGGTTTTAGGATTCAACTTTTGGGGGTTAATCCGGTCCCGAATTCTCACTTAAATTGGCTTGAGAGAATCAAATCTCGAACTAATGGGAAGGCAGAATTTATAGCAGAGAGAGGGTTCTAGTTAGTGGTCAACGAGGCTGTAATCTATTTTTATTTGGAATTTCTGGGTTTCATTGTTTCTGAAAATATGCTCATGTTTGTACTGAAATCATTTGGAAGTGATAAACACTTCATTGTTTGATGATAAATCTACATAATGGAAAAGAAACTGTGAAAATAGATAACCGTTGTGGTGCAATTTATAGCTTTGACACATTAATGTAACCTAATTGTTGTCTGCTACTTTATAGAACATCAATTTTAACCGTGACATCTTCCGTATGTGTAGTTATGTCAGAGGATATGGTCAAGGATGGGTATGAAGACATAGTGAATGTTGACATTTCTTCAGTGGCAATCGACATAATGAAAAGAAAGTATCAGTTCGTCCCCCAGTTAAAATGTATCCTTTGAGGCTTGCATCTTTGTTAAATTAGCACTCAAGTTGTTTGTGTAAGTTTCTGCTAGGATTGTTAGTATCGATATATCAGTCATAATTATTGAGTTTGTTAGAATTTAGTGGTTATAATACTTTGGATAAAGTGTTGAAGAGAGTTGGCCCTCTCAAAAGGTTGTCGTCCTTGCATTCCCTTTGAGCTAAAATAAGATCGGTTCTTAGTTTTCCACTTCAATTTCTGACTCCTATAAGTTTCCTTGACAAATCTGTATAGACATGCAAATGGATGTTAGGGACATGAGCTTTTTCCCTGACGAGAAATTTGGAGCCGTCATTGATAAAGGTCTGGCCTCTTTATCTTCATTGTACACCCTGTTGAGGTTTCCAGTATTCAATAGATACTGAAGTTTGTTCTTTGTGTTGATATTTCAATGCTGGTGCCACCTTTCTTTGGTCATGGCCTCTTGGTTTTTGATTTAGGGACACTTGATTCATTGATGGTATGTGAGTTTTCCATTTTTCTCATGCACGCTATTAGTTATTTCTTACCATGTTCTAATTTTTTTAATTGCGTGTACATAGTGTGGCACTGATGCTCCAATTAGCGCTTCTCAAATGCTGGGAGAAGTGAGTAGGTTGTGGACTTTATGAACTTCAGAAGATCAATTGACTTGTTTCTTTGGGAAATTCTGTTATTTTGTTTATACATTCCATGACTAATCTATGGCTATTACCCCTATAGGCTTCTCAAACCTGGAGGAATCTATTTACTGGTAAAACCATACGTGATTAATTTCTCGTCGGGGCTTTATTTTTAAAATTTTCTGTTTGCAGTAAAATAATTGAAATTTATTTTTGTCGTTTGCAGATAACTTACGGTGACCCGAAAGTAAGGATGCCCTATTTGACGCGACCTTCATACAATTGGAAGATATCATTGTATATAATACGTGAGTTCATTATCATCCTCTCACTGAACTGTTCCTTCTCATTTTCTGGTCTATAATTGATATTAACCTTCTTAGGGTGTGCATTGGCAACCTCCTAGTTGAATGGAGACAACTTCTGATTTCTGAATAATAGTAGTCTGACAATATATTTGTACTGTTTAAAGCTCTGAACATGAATTGCGAATGCAATTACCACAAAAAAAGCCTCCTTTAAAGTAGGAAACTAATTCAAAGCATCACTTAACAGTCGCCCCTCCCCCAATAAAACTCTGTTGACCTGAGTGTACCATTGCGAACATGTTCTCTAGCTGTGTAAAACTTGATGATTTATAAACTGACAATATAGAAGGATGAACTTCTTCCGAAGCGTTAAATTCAGCATGGTTGTTTCACGTTGTTAAATACTGAAACATGTTCATTCATAACTGTCAACACTTCTTGTTTTGGTCTACTCTTGCTTAAATTTTATTTCTGTGATCTACTGAAAATTATATGTTACAACTTACAAGATAGTTTATGTTATCCTGTGCTATTAATGGGCTTAGGAGATATATTTTTGTTCTTAACTTAATTTCAATTTTGACTGAATATGGAAAATGGAAATATACTTCCCACTGCTCATTCTTTACTTTCTACAGCAAGGCCAGGATTCCAAGGGACAGAACCAGGAGACTGTAGCACACAAGAGAAGACGTATCTGGAACCCGTACCTCTGACCGACAAGGGCTTGCTGTCACCGAGTTTTGTGATGGAAGACCCAGATTCTCACTTCATATACGTGTGTGAAAAGATGGACGATTCGGAACTTACTAACATAGCCACGTACCCATTGAGCACAGATGTGTTATAGGAATGAAGAAGGTACCTTACCTTACCTACCTTGTTGTATCATCATCATCAATCATCCATATTTACAAGCTTGAATATGCAAATGCATTGTTGTAAAATGATGTTGTAGCCTGTAAAAACTAAAAAGCAGGAGAATTGATAGACATAATTGGGCTGGCTATTTTACATGTGGAAATTAGCAATAATGGAGGGGGAAACCCTGAGTGTAAGGTGGAGAGATACAATTGTTGTAGCAACACAGAAACATATGGAATCACTGTGGTTATTAAACCAAATCCTTAATTGATTATGACAATGTCATTTTCTTTGTGGTTTCTGTTTTACTTCTCTCTTCTGTCAGAAGTTTTTGCATCACATTCAAGTAAACTTGAGCCACACGTACAGGATATTGAGTATTCTATAGGATGCTGCCTGGAATTGGATCTTTGAGGCTTTTCATACTATTTGGGAAGAATTTGTCTATTTCTATATTTTGTCTCTAAAATTGCCTTTCCCTTCTTTTTTATTAGAATCTGTTGTGTAAGATTTTTAAAAGTTTAATTAGAGGGTTCACTAACTATAACGAAGGGAAGGTAGCTAAGCTATGATTTTTTTCAGTACAACAAAAGCACGGATGAGAATTTGAACTGGAAGAAATAGATGCTATAATTTTTGAACTATACTCACATGGACGAGTTATGATTAGCGTTATGCATATACATTGCAGTTCACCTTATTCGAGTGAATTTTGACATTGGGATAGTTTACATGCCCTTCAAAATTGTCTGATTCTACGCTTGATTTAGTTAACACCATAATTTGAACTCATTCTTTCCAAATTGTCACCATTCGTGCTAAATTTGAAAATTTAATCTAAGACTTTAGAAAATGTGGAATGTCCTTCTAAGTACTAATATCTTCGTTTTGTCACCTTGAATCTGATTCAATGGATTAAATCACTTATATTCGACTAGAACGTGTCGTAAGTTTGAGTCTCCGTACCTCGCATGTTGTACTAAGTTTAAGTCTTTTTTCACATGTTGTACTAAAACATATATATATTCCTTTTTTATTTTTTACTTTCAGTACATATTGATACAAACAGTTTTGTTGTGTCTATATAATATTATATACAATTGCGACCAAATTACAAACAAAAAATTCCAATTTGACATTACATACACGATCATGATAAATTAAAAAAAAATAAAACCATAATAAATCTCAAATTCAATGTTTTCCCTCTCTGAAAACATCAAGTAATCGGCTTCTTCCGTCCAGAACCTCCGAGAATCTTCCGTCCACCTCCTTCCTCAATCTCTCCACCTCCTTCTCCAATCTCTCCGATCTCCTCCTCATTTCCTCCGCCGCTCCGCCGCTGCCGCTCCTCCCATTTACCAAATCGGCGGCGACCAGCGCCGCCGCCTCGTTGAGTTCCTCGACTTCCTCCGGCACACTCCCCTTCCCGGAAACCGCCTCAAGGACAACCGAATCCAACGACTTAAACGAAGAAATCGCCACACCGGCGGCGGACTTTCTCGCCGCCAAATACGCCGTGGAATCTCCCTCGCAACCGGAAAGCACAATCCCACAGACCCAATACCCGATTCCCTCCATTGTCACCAGAGCTCTCTCGATCGCCCAATCTTCGCCGGAGCAGCCCTTTCTCCGATCTCTCACGGCTGCTTTGATTTCAAATTCTCTGAAATTCTTCTTCGGCACGATGGGTTTCATACGCTCCACCGCCATGGAAGGGGAGCTCTGAATTAGGCCCAGAGCGTGGGAAAGAAGAAGCCGAGATTGCCCCAATTGGGAGAGCGAGAAACTGACAGAATTTAGAAGATCAAGCAAATTAAGGGTGTAATTGAGATACCCATCGACCAAATCGGGCGGCCATTGTCCGACGGGATGCTCCAAATTCACGGCCAATTTCGTAAACGCCTGGTGAACGATGGGCAGAGTCTGGAGAAGCTGGAGAAGCCATGGGAACGACAGCAATCGGGAATCGGAGCTCGAGGCCGAAAATTGAATGAGGCAAGACGACACGTCGGACTCGAAGGCCTGGAGATGAGAGGCAGCAGATGAAGCTTGAGATCCATGGCGGCGGTGATGGTGGTGGTGGTGGTGGTTGTCGAGCTTGGAACAGAGCTTGTTGAAGGTTTGTAGCAAAAGCACCATTTGAGGGGGCAGGAATTTGCAGAATTCAAAAGGGGTTTCGATTTTGGTGTTTGTGGGTTGTTTTGATTTGAGTGTAACTATGGAGTTTAAAGAAGATTTATATATGAAGAAGAAGAAGAGGAGGAGGATGAAGTTTCAGAAGGAATCCGCGTGCGCCTTGACTTAATGCCCAAGAGAAAAGTAAAGCAAAAACGTTTGACTCGTTGATGGTTTCTCAATATTTATTTCCAAAAAATATACAACTTTGCGTCAGTTATCCGCTTATACCTTTATTCTCTTTTTTTTTCCTTAAATACTATTTTAATCGTGTATTTTTTTCATTTTAATTTCTTTTAATTCATGTAATTTCAAAATGTTTCATGTTGATATGTTAGTTTTAAAAAGTGATTGTTTAAATTTCTTTATTTTATTTTTATCATAATTTTAATACGACATTAATATTTTTTGAAATGTTATCATGACTTTATTATTAAAGGATTTTTTTTAGGTATAAATTTGGACTAAAATGGTCGCGTTTTAAAAATACATTGACAAAAAAATGAATGTTTTCCGGATATGAAGAATAAAACAACCACAATTAAAAGTACAGGGATTAGAAGTATTATTTTAACATTTTTTTTTCTTTTTAGTTATAATTATGAAGGGAATATATAACCATGGATCTTAATATCATAATAGATGCTTGAAATTAAGTTATGTTGGAATTGGTTACCTTTTCTAGTTTTATGTGTTACATCCATTATTTAATTAAAAATGTATAGCAAGTGAAGGCATCTATTATATTCTTGAACTATCCTTGCTGTGTGAATGGTAGGTGAATTAGTACAATTTGAAAAGGGTACTAATGGTTGGTTGATACAGGATGGAGGAGGTTCCGTAAAAGCAAGTGGAAGAATTGTTCAAATACTAGTAAGCGAGGCTTATTGAGGTCGTGTTATAAATGCAATGGTTAAACCTATGGATGACAAGGTTAAATTTCAGCTTCTGAATCTCGGTTAATTGAATTTCACGTCCCGTATTATTTTAAGACATTCTGTTTATGAGTCTCTTCAAACATGATGCTACTGATTTGATAATTCCTAACGAACGTGGACAGCGATAATTAATTATCAAGGACAAGCAGACCGGTAAAAATGTAGAAACCACAAATACGATCCTCAATCAACAAGGGCAAAATGTAATATCTGTTTACGTAGCTATTGATAAAAAAGAATCTTCTATGTGGTCGAATCACCCGTCCTACTTGCTGTATTAAAAAAAAAAAACTTTAATATATATATAGAGAGGAAATCCTAAGCAATCTTAGGTCTGTACTGGAGTTGGCAAATGCAAGGGCGCTGACTTTTTATTTGGTCAAAATTGATTAGTTGGCCATTCCCTTCAAACGCGGCTGAGTTTAGTGCAATTTGCTAATTAGCTGTTCATAAATATTTTCTGTTGCCAGGAAATCGGAATATAAAATCGATATAAAATAAAATTAATAATCAGTTAAATTATGTTTTCTAGTTTTTAGGAGAAATATATTTTTAGTGGGCGTGACTGCGCTTTAATTCTTAATTTCTAACATCAAATATGGATGACAATGATAATAAGAAAATGAAAAATTCGTAAATTTGTGGTTCCATTCTAAAAGAAATCACAAGAAACATGTSAAAAGTTAAGAGGTTGCGAATTCGATTCCCACCCTCGTATGTTGTAAAAAGAAGGAAAAGAAAAATGAATCCTCACCCTCTCTAAAAAAATTTATGGCAGATAAAATTTTCATTTAATTTTTTTATCTTCTAAATAAAATAAATTTTTAGTACTAATTTTTTCCTACTAAAAACTATACTAAATTTTGGAACTATATATTTAGAAGTTGAGGAAAAAGGAAAAATAAGAAATATCTAGAAGAAATAACCGTTGGAGTGGTTATAGCCCACCGATTAAAGAAAATATGTGGGCCGTTGATATGTACGACACGTAGGACAACCGCAGTTCCCCTTTGCATTATCCACTTCTTTTTCCTTTTTCTTTTTTTTCACCATTTTATTTTATTTACAATAGTTTTATAAATTATTAATGTTTTAACCTACTATAGTCCGAGACAACATGTTTAGTACCGAGATAACTTTTTTTTAATTTTACACTTCTCTCAACAAATGAGGTCAAAAACCATATTTGATGACATATGAACTTTTTGTTAAGGTCAAATTTTAAAATTATTTAATCTTAGATAAAATATTTAATTAGTATTTTTCGTCAATAAATTTTATTAAACTCGTATCATAAAGTAATCTTAAATTGACACAAAATTATTAAATATTGCGAACACAATACAACTATCTTATATCAAAACATATTTTCTAATTTCGTAACAATATATTAGACTAGTTTCTCTAAACCTTAAGGTAAAAGTAAAGTTGGTTCTTTTTCCTTTTTATAAATGACAAAAGAAAAAAAAAAGGAGATTTTAATTAAAACATGTTTTAGTTGTGGGGTCAATTTTGTCATTCTGTCTCTGGGAACTTTATCCAAAAAGGCTTCACGTCATCCATGTAGTTACCTGTACGTCAATCCACAAAACGTTGTTTTTTTTTGCATCAAATCGTACAATCTAATAAACAATTAATTATTCTGCCAAAAGAATGATATAAAATAAACAATTAATCATTCTTAAGAAAAAAACAATTAATTAAGTATAAAATTAAATTGATTGGTCAAATATTCAAGACGATACTAATCTGCTTTAAACGTCGCACGTATCCAAATTCTCACATTTATATTTAAATAGTAACATATTTAAAAAGTAAATGAAGATAATTTGACCATGACTTTGGAGATACCAATACTTTTAGTATTCAATTAAAGAAATAATTCAAGCTTTATTTCCTAGAATAATTTTGTCCCTTAAAAAGAAGAAAAATCCTCAATTTTCAAATTAAAAAATAAAGATTTTCAAAATATCATGGACTAGAAAACTTCTTTCGTCGACTGCAAGGCACCTAAGCAAGAACAGACTGTCTCCTCGAAAAAATGGTGGGCTGTACTATTTGAGCTTATTTTTCATGTTTTTTTTTCGGAAGTCTAGAGAAAGACGCAATCAATAAGATTTTTCCTTTTCTGCAGTCGAAGGAACCTGTACTTTTGCCGGCAATGCGACTTCAGTGGATTATGAGTAAATATTCACTAAGAGGATTAGAGCATGTGACTATGAACTATAATGTTGGATTCAAATCCCTCTAGAGAATACAAAGTATGAGTTTGGCCCCTGAATAGAATTCATATCTCTTTCGTCGGGTCGAGAAGGAGAAAGTCACGAACACCATTTGCAACATTCAAGACATCTGAGCAATAACAGACGGTTAAAGTTAGCAAAGTTTTGACATCCAAAAAGATCAAAATGATCAAATTTCAAAAAAATAATTAACCAAATAGATATTTTTGAAGTTGAACTAAAAAGCATACAAACAATTATGAAAATTACGGAGAAAAAATATATACTCTTTTAATTTGTTTTATTTATTTTTAAAGATCTCACCTTAGGTGTGTGTGTCCAATGTCATTCAATTAATGGGTTTTGTTTTGTTCAATTTCAATCCATCGCATCCTTCTAACAAATTTCCACAATACTAGGCCATACCAATTTTGTTTTTATGTTATAGTAGTAATTAAATTTAAATTATATTTCTTTTTGAAATAATTAAAATTAAAATTTTATTTTGATCTATCAATTTTTATCTTTACTTCAATAATTTGTAGTAACTTTTAAATGGTTATGGTTTTTTTTCTTGTAGAATAAAAATGGTTATGTTCTAACTTTTAAATTATTAAATACTTTTTTTAGCCTAAAACTCTTGATAAAATTTTATTTTAGGTTATTATTAAATTTTTTTTTTAAAGTATGTCATTGAGACGAAAACCAAATTATTATTTTATACAAAATTCAAGAAAAATAAAATAGACTAAATACATCAAATGGCCCCTATTCTTTCGAGTAACTCTTCATTTGGTGTTTAATCCTATAAGATTTTCAATTTTACTCTTATTATATTAAAAAATATATATAAATAGATTCCTTCCATAAAAATAAAATAATATTCAATACGCGTGAAAAATTGTTTGTACAAAGGTGGTGCACCAACATATTTGGATATGTATTGACAATTGATATGCCACTAAAAATTAATAGATAACAGGTTGAATTTGACAAATTAGATTTCATGTGTATCAAAAATCATGCAGCAAGTTTCAATTCATATAAAAAGCACTAGACTTTTATCTTTCTTTCAATTTCATTGATAGAAGAAGAGTGTTACCTTTATATACAAAGAACTCGCTGCCTATAAACTGCTATTATAGGTTAGTTTCGTTTCTTCGAGCTCGTCCCTTATAGGAAACAAAACTAAAGCCCCTCAAGAAGCCGCATTCAAGTTAGGAGCTACACATGTATTAATTTAATGTGTTTTTGCTATTTAATTAGACTGAAATAAGAGATCTAATTATGTGGGTAAGTTTTGATCTAATGAAGTAATTATAAAATGACTATGGGCAAAATGTATATATACCATTTAATAATTTTAAATTTGGAAATTTCAATTTGATGAGGGGCCAAATTCGAAATATCAAAACGTTTTAATCGAATAATAGTTTTTGGTCGGTTAGTCCCTGAATCAGATATATCTCCACGTCAATTTTCTGTCATCATTTTTTTAACAAAGTGATCCAATTGCAAAGTCTCAATTAGGTAAAAGAAAAAATATATTTCCAAATTATACGTGTATGATTTTACATATTGCGGATGCCAATAAATTAGATAAAATCGACTGCATCAAAAAAAATGAATTTTGGATAGAGGAAATAAACCAAAAATTAAAAAAAGAGAACGAGAGGCTGTGAGTTCGAATCCCGCGACATGTCGTACTAAAATATTTGAATTTTAATAAGAAAAAAAGAAAAAACGGAAGAGGTCGTGTCATATTTTATTTGGCCTCCTAACGTGGACACTAGTTGCATGCCAATCATTGATTCCCATGATCCCCCACTTTAATGCTTCATTAAAAATTTGATAAATCAATCAATTTAATTTGATTTAATTTACTCAAGTCTCTAAATCATAAAAGTTTCGATTTCATTTTTAAATTTTAAATTACTCTTATCCTTATTTTTGTTGCTAACAATAATTTTGTCTATTTTTCAAATAACGAGGTAGTATAATTGAACCATCGAAATTTAGAATGATGATAATTACTTTATTCACTGAGCTTAAACATTGATATTACAGTCATTAAATGATCGACAACACTCATTTCTTGAAATTTAAATGAAATGACATAATTGGGTAAACAATTAAACTCATTATCATATATAATTATGGTTCAATATTCGACCAAATTAGGGCATATACTTTTAGTAGACTAAGTAGGTAATAGTTTTACCAAAGGTAACCAAACGAAATCACCTCATCTAAATTTAAATAACGGGTGTTATCATTTCGTAAACCACAATGCTACAAATACAAATATGAAAGTAACATATTATGTGTACATATATATATAAACTCATTTTATGCTAATTCAGGTAAATGTCTCTATATATAATAAAAATCATGAAATTATATTTTAAAAAGAAAATATTAAATTATTATCAAATGAGACATTATAATTGATGATATTTTAATATTACAAATAGATAAGCTTAAATTCAAATTTTAGAGGTGAGTTAGATGTCGTATTCTTAAAAGAGAATAAAATTTTAAATCGTTGATATATATATAGTGAGAGATTTAAGGGCTGTTTGACTGACAATTTGGATTTTGTTTCTTATTTTTATATTTACGAATTCAATTGGATAGTTTTGTTTTTGAAAACTCTTTTCTAATTTTGTGATCTAGAAAATTATGACAATAATTTTCAATGTTTCAATTATAAATTATATAACATATTATAAAATAATAATTATACAAAATAAAAATAAAATGTTAATAAATTAATTAATATTATTTTACGTTGAACTAAATATCTAGAAAATAAGAGTGGTCCTTGATTTCGGTCATCGTGAACAGAGCCAAAATGATTATTATCGTAGAACTGACCGCAGAGGATAATTCTTATTCTCAATAAAAGAAAAAAGGTGTCATTGTACCTTGTTGACTTTGTCCCCTGCAGCTTGCATATGCAGTATGTTCTTATTGTCTCTTCTGTTTGCCACCTGTCCCCCTCAATTTAAAATTAATGTTAATTATAATTATAAACTCCTTTGGAAAAACAAATAATTTATAGTTATAATTATAAACTAAAGTTTCAATTGGGTGCGATTAGTCCAATTCCGTATTCTTGATTTGTATTTCATGATTTTGTCAAATTTTACAAATCGTCCTTAGTATATAGAATTTTTTTGCGTGACAATAAATTGATGTTTTTTATTTGACTACTTATGGTAGTTGACTCTATTGAAATTTTAAAGTTAGTAAATTTGTGGAATTTTTTCAGGAACATGTAATGTAAGTATGACTTGTGAGGCTATGTCAATTACCGCTGTTGAGAGCTTTGGTAAATTTTAAACATAATGCTATACATAAAAAAATACATTTATTATATGTTTTTTTTTTTTACAATTTTATCTAAATTATAAGCGATTATTTGTTGGCTAGTAGGTGATATTAAATGGAAAAAATAAAAACTCCTCTGCAATCCTTAAAAGAAAAGGCATTATCTCTTATAATTTTTTTTAATAAAATGTCTTTCATGAATTTTAAATGCTCATAGAAATGTGTTATTATCATTGAATTTTAACATTGCACTATATAGAAATCTTGATCTGCTCTTTTTCTTCTTTCTTTTTTATTTTTTACAATTCATTTGACTTAAAAAAAAGCTAATTATAGTACATAAAGTTTCTATTAATAAATGGATCAATAGAAATTAATTTTGGTACAAAGATCATATATAGAACTCCAACAGTTTAAGAAAAAAGTCCAACAAAGATTTATATGTAGACTCACAATATTATTTTAATAAAAACTCTCTTTTGAATCATTATTTTTTAAAACTACCCATAAAAAATAGTATCAAAATAAATCTGATCTATCAAGATCGAGATATGTCCATATATCTCATAAACCTCGATGTGAGATCTAAACATCTAATACCATTTGAATTTGTTGGGAGAATTCCATTTACAGGTATTTTCATTTAAAAAGAAATGAATGGATAAAATCTGGCTTCCAAATTTCGAAATCTTGAATTTCTAAAAATCAGAGTCATCCAATCGTACGGCCATCATTTTATCATCACCCATCCCTCAATGATCCTTCCATTTTAATATCCTCTTCTAAAAAAGGGAAAAAAAAAAAAAAATCAATCGCCATCACATGGCGCAACATGATTGGCGGTGATAACATTTCATCTCTTCAATCAATTAATTAATTATCTTTGGAGTCGAGTAATCTGCCCATCAAATCCGATGTTCATGGCCGTCGAAAAATGGAACGATTCTTCAACTTCGCGATCGGTTTTTCCATTTTAAAAATTTATACAGAGAGATTATCCGATACTCTCACCAGTCCATATTATAGTCCAGATCCAGAAACCAATAGTCCAAATTCCGAACCGGAATTAATTAATTTTTCCCCTATTTAACTCCCCTGCGATTCCAAACAGAGTACCAAAAATCGCAATCGCAATGGCAATCGCAATGAGAGGATCAAAATGCCGATCTCCAATTCTCCTCCTCTGTTTCTTCCTCTCCTTGTTCGCGATTCAAATCCACGCCAAGAATCAGAAACAAGCCCTGGACGCTCTGTACAAATCGAAATTCTTCAAGAACTCAAACGCCGCCGTCTCGGAGGAGCTTTTCGTTAACGATGCAGTTAAAAACGCCGACGATTTCCTGCCGGCGGTCGAGATTTACGATCAGACCGGACTGAAGCGGCAGGACAGAATCGGACGGCTGCCAGGACAACCGCCGAGGGCGAAATTGTCGCAGTACGGCGGCTACGTGACGGTGGACAAATCCGCCGGCCGCGCTTTCTATTACTACTTCGTTGAGGCTCAGCATAACAAGAACTCGCTGCCGCTTCTCCTCTGGCTCAATGGAGGTACGTCGCCGGTGCCGGTAACTTCGATTGAGTTTTTTTTAACCGATCGGAAACATTTTATCGATCGATTTTTTTTAAGGCTTGTTTGATCTGATCAGATTCTTTCTGGTTTGTCTTCTTCTCTGTTTTATCTCCATTTTGATTCTCTCTCTAAATAATTGAGATGCATCTGAAAGCAACGTGTTACCTAAAAGAAATTCAAGAAGAAGATGGAACTCGTGATCATGATTGCGGCAGTTTTGTTTGTGTGGTTATGAACCACATTCATAACATCATTCCTTCTTCTTCTTCGAAATGATAATTAATTAAGTAGTCACAATTTCGCATGTTCCCTTTGTTTTTTTTTTATTTGTTATTATATTCTTTTTGCATAAAACTTTTGAAAAATATATTTTAGAAAAGGAAATTGTAGCATCAATAAGTGAGTTTGTCAGTTTTGACTCCTCTCTTTGAGGAGGATTTTTCGGCGTCCATGGCGTGTGTATTGTAAAGCTACTAACTATTGTTCTGAAAGAAAAAATATATATATATTTTGGGTTAAATTATCAATTTCGTCCTTTTATGGTTTGTCCATATAATTTAAAAAGATAAAAATTAGTTTAATTTGAGTATAAATCTTTTTCTGACCACCATTAAATCTTAAATAAACAAAAAAAAAAAGAAACAATATTTAGGTACTCCCGTAAAACACTTATCTCATGACATTGAAAACTCATTATTCTAAAAAAAGTTATTTGATTTTGTATTTTTTTTTGGGAAAGGTTTGATTTTGTATTTCTCTGACGTTTGTTTGGCAAGGTACTTTCTTTCATTTTTAAAATCCACTTGAAAAGTCATATTTTCTCAACCTTTTTCATCATTCCTAAAATCTATATAATTTGACCTTATTTTAATCTTGCTTTCTAAATTTGATACCAAACCCAATACAAATAGCTTAAATTATGATCATAAGTGCACAGAATGCCACATGAAATATATGTTTAAAATTAAAAACTACGTATTTAGAATATAAATGATGAGTAAATTTTAGATTATTATTCAAGAAGTAAATGGCGTGAACGGTCGTAGGGACCAAAATGATAAAGATTCATATGATATTTCTCAAAAACTGAAGGAAAAAAATAAGAAACGGAATGCAACGTGTCAGTAGATGATTGGTTGAGTTTCATGGGCAGGGCCTGGGTGTTCGTCCCTTGCCTATGGAGCCATGGCAGAACTCGGACCCTTCCGCGTCCGCAGCGACGGCAAAACCCTCTACGAAAACAAGTTCTCCTGGAACCACGGTACGGATCGGATTTCATTTTTTTTTCTTTTCCAAATTAATCTATTTATTTATTTTCAAATTATTAAAATTGATTAAATTAATTTTTTTTTATATAATGTTTTTAGTTGCAAATGTGTTGTTTTTGGAGTCACCGGCGGGGGTGGGATTCTCGTATTCGAATACGACGGCGGATTACAAGAACAACGGCGACAGGAGCACGGCGATTGACAACTACGCGTTTCTGGTGAACTGGCTGGAGAGGTTCCCGGAGTACAAGGAGCGGGATTTCTACATCGCCGGCGAGAGCTACGCCGGCCACTATGTTCCTCAGCTTGCTCACACCATTCTGGCCCACAACCGGAACGCCAACAAGAGCATCGTCAACCTCAAGGGCATTATCGTAAGTTCACTTCTTTCTCTCTCTCTCTGTGACTTGTCCATGGCAAAATCATTACTTGGACTGGAAATAATAGGATCCACTAATTATGCAATAGAAAATTATAAATAGATCAATATCTAAACGTGTGTTTCTATCCAACAATTCATCTATACCTTAAAAATCAATTTGGAATGATTTTATATTTTTCTAAAATCAATTTTTTAATCAACCAAACATAATTGATATAACAAAAGTAGGAAACTTGAAGATTGTATTTATAAGTTTAATTTTCCAAAAACAAGAAGGTCATCAAATTTATGCATTATTATAAATAAAAATAATGATTTTATATTTATAAATATCTCCAAAAAGTTTTTATTCAACGCATAGAAAATTGGTGGATATAATCCTACAGCCTCACTCACTCACGTCAGTTTCTCGAAAAAGACTCTCATGGAGGGGTTGACCCACCACCGCCCAACTTGGCCACGTTCCTCAGCACCACCACCTCCTTATCATACCTATTTTCCTCATTTAATTTAATTTAATTTCCTCGTCCAGATCGGAAACGCAGTAATTAACGACGAGACTGACCAGTTCGGAATGTACGACTTCTTTGCGAGCCACGCGCTGATCGCCGACAGAACCGCGGCGGACATAAGGAAGTACTGCGACTTCTCGGCGGAGGCGAGGGAGCAGAGCCGGCAGTGCATCGCGGCGTCGAACGAGGTGGAGCTGAACATCGGAGTGGTGGACATCTACAACATTTACTATCCGCTTTGCCGTAACGGCAGCCTGACGGCGCGGCCGCGGAAGGCGACGGTGATGAGCTACGACCCATGCACCGATTACTACACGTACGCGTATTTGAACCGCGCGGAGGTGCAGAGCGCCATGCACGCCAACGTCACCAGGCTCGGGTACGACTGGGAGCCGTGTAGCGACGTTATTGTCGGGTGGACGGATAGCGCTTCCACCGTCGTTCCGCTGCTGCGGGAGTTCATGGATAGCGGCCTTCGAGTCTGGGTTTTCAGGTAATTATTTCACTTTATTATTATGTTATGTTTTGTTTTTGAAAGGCTAATTTGATAATGATTGTTAAAAATTATGGTGCCTTCTTCTAGATTTTTTATTTTATTTATTGATATATATGTTCTTTTCACTTTTTTTTTTCATAAATGGTTTTTTTTATAACCGGATTTGATAATGATTTCGTTTTTAGATTTTTTTGAGAATGTTTTTGTACAACTTGATTGTTAAAAGTCATAGGCCTCTCTTGAATACATATTTGAATTTTTAGTTAAATATTTCAAAAATAAAAATTAAGTTTTCCACAATTTGTATTTTCTTTACCATTCTTACAAACATGTTTTGAATTATTATCTAAATAAAAAAGATCTACTTTTTTAAAAATTGTATATTTCTTTTAATTTTTAAGATCGAGTTGACTTGGAGGTTGAAAGTAGCGGAAATAATGATTATGTTTCTAATAATAATTCTTTCTCTGAATATTTTAGTTTTTAATAATATTTTTAAAGCTTGGAAAAAAATTGTAAGCAACTCCTAAATTTTAACAAAATTGTAAAAGTTATGTAGAAGACAAAATGAAATTGTTATCATATAAGCAACAATTTTCAGAAAATAAAACATAAATTGCCAGGACTTTTAATTTGTACTTAAAACTATTAGTAAAACAATCATAATTATTTTCAAGAATAGAAATAAAAATCAGAATCATATCCACCACCGAAAATGAGTTGGATATAGGGTACGTGAAAAGAAAATATAAGTAATGTTGGAAGTAGGGAAAATATATAATGATTGTTTTTGTTTAGTGGGGTTTCGTGGGAGAATGGTAATGATTTATATATTTGGTTTAATTTTACAATATTGGGATGCAGCGGTGATTTTGATGGGAGAGTGCCCATTACTTCCACCAAATATTCTATCAACTCAATGAATCTTCCCGTGAAGACATCTTGGTATCCATGGTTTGTTGCTGGAGAGGTACCTTTCACTTTCATACTCTATTTCCCCCTAAATTTTATGTTATTTTCTACTAAAGTTTTGCTAGGCACGTTAATTATGTAGACTTGTGTTCTAAGTCGTCACATGTATCAATCTCGTTCTAGAGGACTAGAACGAGTATTTGATTAAAACTCATATGAGCCATTCAAGCCATCGAGAGAAAAAATCAGTAATTTGAAACATTTATTTATTTTTAGAGTTGGCCTTATGGTGGGGTGAAGTCTATTTGAAGATGAGTGAGAGTGACTGGCGATAGAGTATATGATGAATTAAGTGAGCTCCCAATACCTAGATATTAAAAAAATATCTAGGTTTTGGAAGAGATTAAATCTTTTAAATGGTCCGGCACTTTGAAAGTTTTAATTCTACCCTCAATATTTTTCATTTGTTGCAAAAAAAGACATCTTCTCAGCAATTTTTTAAACCTACAAAATGTTAGATAGATTAGGTTTTTTAATGACACAAGTTGATAGATTTAGGGTAAAAATTGAAACCAACTATATACGTTAGAATTTAACCGACTGGTGAATTGACTTGGAATTTATAGGTTGGAGGGTATGCAGAAGTGTACGAAGGGGAGTTGACATTGGCGACAGTAAGAGGAGCAGGGCATGAAGTGCCAAGCTACCAGCCAAGAAGAGCACTTTCACTCATCAAGAACTTCCTTCAAGGGACTTCTCTCCCTACTTCTCATTCTCCTCCTTCATAACCGTATTAATTAATTACCTTCTTCAATCTCAATCTCTATTTTATGTTTTAGATTCATTTTCAGTACATTTCGTCTTTCTTTATCATTTCCCAATTAGTTGTTACATTTCCTATCCTCAAACTTCTTCCAAGGAAATGTAATGATAATTCTTTTAGAAAGAAAAAAATCATTTGTTATATTTGATCAACATCTTATGATACAAAAGAGTCATTTTAGTTGCATTCTACAATTTATGGTGAAAGGAAATAATTTTTATCCCTATCGCAGATTGAACTAAAAATGAAATGGTACAAAATTGAAAGTATTTGCTATAGGTTTATATTGATGTGTGAACTAGGAGCATGTGACCTATCTAAAAGAGTTTATAGTGATGTTTTCGTTTAAATAAACTTGAAGTTAATCTTAGAGATTAAGGTACATTAAATTTAGAAATTTTATGTTTTCAAATGTCTTAAAATGTTGAAATGAGGTGGTTTTATATCCAGCATTTAGATAAAATATTATTAAAAAAATCAAACGAATAACATATAATGAACTTATTTAAGAAATTAATATATATATACACACACGCACATATATAAACAAATCTGCCACTTGATGAAACTTATTATAAGAAATAACAATTTTATAGTATGCCCAATGCATTTAAATGAAACTCCATACAACCAAATATATATATTTGTTATTAAAATAACTTCTAAAACTAAGGTCTTGTATTCAGTTTCTTTTTATCAATATTTATGGCCTTATCTCAAAATTACTGGACAATAGGGAGGTAACCTATGTCCATGGCGATCGTGAACAAGTTTCTTCAAGATGGTGGCGTTTTTTGACTTACTATTTTGGCCGGATCCTATTTTTGGACAATTGTTTAACTCGGATACCATATCATTAATCATGAATTTTCATCTTATAACCAATTGACAATTAGAGAAGTAGCTAATTACATTTATAAGAAATAAATTTGAATTCTTAGCTAAATTTTTAAAAAACAAAAGTAAGTTTTTGAAAACTACTCTTTTTGATGGTCAAATTTTAAAAAGTAGATGCAAACTAAATAAACACATAAGTTGAGAACCGTGTTTACGAGCTTAATTAAAAAAAAAAACTAAAAACAAAATGACTATTAAATCGAGCGTATAGAAGTATGATTCAATACTATAAAAATATGAGAACAATAATTGGTCTATTTAATTTTAGCAAGAGAGAATAAGAGCAATAAATTTCACAAACTTTCGAATTTAATCACTTGAAAATAAAGAGATGAATTCTTCCGAACATTATTTATAAAATAGTTTTAATTAAAACACTAGTGTGTTTTATTAATAAATTAAAAAAAATGATGTTCATCACAAGTTTGTTTGGTTGCACTATATTTAAAAAATGATCTCACACAAAAGCTAAATTACCCAAAATAATTTTGGTCAATTACTTTCTAAATTGAACACGCAAGTATTGTTTAAAAGTAGATGCAGATGAAAGCAGTGTTTACATGCTCACAGAAAATTAAATTCAAAATATTACTAAATAGAGCTTATAGAATTACAATTCAATACAATAAGAATATGAAACCAATATTTGGTCTATTGTATTTGAGCAAGAAAGAATAAAAGCGATAAATTTGACAAACTTTCTAATTTAATCACTTAAAAAGAAAGAGGTCTTTCTTCAAAACATTTTTCTTGTAATAGTTTTAATTAAAATATTTGTGTGTTTATTTTTTTAAAACTATTTTAATAACAAATTTATTTGGTTGAACCACATTCAAAAAATATCTCACAAATGCTAAATTACACAAAATAATTTGTGGTCAATCACTTTCTAAATTAAACCAAATTAAAAGAAAAATACTTTTAGTCCTTAATCCAAACACCATAGTTTATGAAGTTTTGGTTTGTCCCACATCGGCGAAGGTGGAGAGAAGAGAGGCAGGGAAGCGGTATAAAAGGAAACCAAGGGGGAGCTGTGTAACATACTTACCTGGACGGAGCTTTTGGATGACCAAGAAGGTCCATGGCTTAGGTTGGTGACCTCCATTGCACTATCGGAGGGGCGCCCGCCTAAGGTCTGCCCAATGTGGCAGAGCCTACGTCATAATTTGTGCCAGTGGGGGCCTGCGTTCGCGCGGCCCCTGCCCAATTTCAACTCGAATAATATTGTTACTTCACAATTAAACCAATCTTATTATAATAATCAGTTTGAATTTACTTTTATTTGCTGTTTGGTCAAAAGATCGAAAGAAACGCATAAAGCTCCATTTATCTTGGAACTTTGGTTTGTCCCACATCGGTGGAGGACCCTAGAAGAGAAGCGCGAAAGAGGTATAAAAGGGAATCGAGGGCTGATGGTGAACCTTACTTACCTGGACGGGGCTTTTGGGCGATCATAAATGCTCATGGCCTGGGTTGGTGGCCTCCATTGCACATACGGGAGGGGCGCCCGCCTAAGGTCTGTCCGTAGAGGCAGATCCTACGTCGTTATTTGTGGCAGCGGGGGCCTGCGTTCGCGCGGCCCCTTCCCATTCACCAGTTCAAACTTTTCTTGTTCGCGTTTCGTAGATTGGCAGCAATGGGGCCTGGTTCCGGTTTGAAAAACTTCACCTATTTTCTTTTATTTTTCAGCCACAGTAGAAAATCGCCATAATTATGGGAATTAAACTACCAAATCGTGAAACTCCAACTCCCCTCCATGATGTACTAAAAGAAATTAAAATTTAGTAAATTAAAATTTTTGAAAAACAAATTTAAAGTTTTAAATTTAGTAAATTAAAATTTTTGAAAAACAAATTTAAAGTAAATCTTTCCATTATAAGAAATTTATCTAACTCCCCCCACCATGATGTACTAAAAGAAATTAAAATTTTTGAAAAACAAATTTTAAAGTAAATCTATAAGAAATTTATCTAACTTAAAAGTTGAAGTGACTTTAATATTATCTACGTAAAATCCTTAAATAATGTAATTTTAAGGATAACATTATTTACAATATTTAATTGTTTTTAATAATTTATATAGTTTCAATAGTATTTGTTTTTCCTAAATTTTTATAACGAAGACTACTATTTCAAAAAGCTTCCCATCATTTAACATGGTTGGATTTTAAGGTGTGAAAAAACAAGAAATTTAAAGATATTATTCGCATACATGTTGTGAATATTATTCTTTATTGATTTTATTTAATTTTGTATTAAAGTTACACATTTGTAATGTCATGTGTTGAAGTTACATGTGTGTTAAAAACACATATATGTTAAACTTAAGCTATCTCTCCAAAGAAAAGTTCTATACATTTATGAGTTAAAGTTACATATGTAAAAATACTATATATGTGTTTAATTTTTGTGGGGGAGGTTACATGTTTGGACAACAATATATGGTTGTTGGTTTCCTTCATTTGGGATATCCAAGCATCTCATTTGAGTTCTCCCCATCTCACAAGAATTTTTTTTTTTTTTTTGAGTTATTGTTCTTGTTTATGTTGAGAGCAAGTGTCTAAGAGTTCTGTCAGATCCCTGTAATTCGATGTTGCTATTCAATCGGAGTTAGTCTTCATATCCTACTGAGACGATCGATGTAGTTTGCTAGCAACTTATGCAGAATGAATAACTGTGTTCAGATCCGTGCTATTGAAGTGTCCCTCGATTATATTTATCAAGTTTTGGTGTTCATCGAGTTGTCAGAATTTGTATTGTTTGTAGTCAGTTACATTGTAATATGTATATCAGTATTATACAGTTTATATATACAACGTATATTTACCCATCAAACATAAATATATCACAAAATGCTACCTAGTATCTCAATCTTTCATATTAGCATTTCGTCAGTGGCACTAACAAAAATTTCAACATAAAGACATTTAGAACTATTTTCTAAAGGTTGGAACAAAACTGTCACTTTTTGAAACTCATGAAATAAAAATCTATCTTCAAACTTAGGAGCCAAGAGCGTAATTCACCATTCACAATCTGGTTAATAGTCTAGACTAAAAATTTGAACCTAAAAATCATGGAAAAAAAGAAATAGTTAGTTTTATCTCAAGTTATGCTCAAGTAGAGGTATCAAACTACAATAAATTTCAAAACCCATCATTCAAAAATAAAAATCTAGTTCCAAACAAATAAAAAACAAGGAAAGAAAGAAACAAGATGATATAGTGGTATAGTGGGTTATGTTGAAGTTTTTAGTTTGTCCCACATCGGTAGTGCTTCAAAGAAGAGGAGCGCGAAGGAGATATAAAAGGAAGGCAATGAAGTTCGATGAAACATACTTACCTGGACGGGGCTTTTGGGCGATCAATAAGGCCTATAGCCTAGGTTGGTGACCTCCATTGCACCTACGGAGGGGCGCCCGTCTAAGGTCTGTCCAACGTGGCAGAGCCTACGTCATAATTTGTGCTAGTGGGGGTCTGCGTTCGCGCGGCTCCTGCCTAATACCAGTTTAACTCTATTTTGAATTCAATTTAATACTTTAGGGTGTAATACATAAATGAATGTATATATTTTCTTCCTTTTCTTAGACAAAGAAGAGCACGTTATTTTTATTTTCTTATTTTTTGTTTACTAATAATTACGAAATATATTAGTTTATTAATTTTTATGGGTTCGACGCAGTATTGTAATACACAATCAACCAAATATGAAACCAATAGTACTTAATTTTTAATTTAAATATATTTTAAAATTTTTATAATCATTATAGAAATATCCATAAAACTGAGGGAGGTGGGGAAATTGAGACCTCGACAATTAAAATCGAGAATGAACTCCGCTCTGGTCTCATCGTGTTTGGGGAAGAGGATACTCCGGACATGTGGAGGACCCCTATTGGTGCTCCAAGATGACTCATGAGTCATGCCCAGCTCGGACCGCCGAGATCACCACCACTAGCGTTGACAGATGCTAAGTATGAGGGCTGAGGTGAACCTGGCCGAGGTCCGAGCTACCGGGAAGCTCGGTAGAGGCCGATGTGAGCTACTGTCAGCGGCGTGATTATCGGGTGTAACCGTCGGTCCCGAGATTACCGGGTGTAACCGACGGTCCCGAGATTACCAGGTGTAACCGTCGCGAGATTAGCGGGACTACCA